GTTAGTTAATAAAAACTAATAAGTATGAATATAAACTATTATAGTTAGTACTTATGTATTAATTCGTTTAAATTTTAATATTTTGTTTTACGTTTAATTACTATTWTTTTTTTTTGTTAATTACAAAAACAAAATACCTGCTAACAATTAAGAGTTTATCAATAACAAACCTATTAACAAATTGTCTGCTGTAGTATTTAGACATTTAGTGTTTACTTTAGAAAACTATTAATTATATGTATGTATTGCATTGATTCTTAAAACTAAAATGTGTTTTATGTGTCATTAAAATTTCACTAGAGTTTATCACTGTTAATATAGTATTGAAATACGAGTCAGTAGCATTTTCCAGGTTTATAATGGGCGGTAATAGAAAATTTGACTGCAAAAACTATTATGTGCTYATATAATAATTTTCCCGTTTCTCTTCCACCCTAACTCCTAAGAATATACATAATACATTAAACCTTAATAAATATAATTTATATACTTTTACTTCATATTTAAGACAATTTTTAAAGGAATATAATTTTATCTTGATTTTTTAGATATGATATCCGCCAAGAACTCCTTCGGAACCAATTAGCACTTCTCAACCCTCTGAACCCTGACCAACAATTTTAACACATTCTGGGAGTTAAGAATGATCTATCCACTATCCCTGCATATTTTATTTCCTGTGAAAACCCTTATATGATACGKGACAAGAATAATCAAAATCAATTGATGTAATGGTAATACTAATAATATACTTTTKGAAATACCTGTAGATATTAGGACTAATATGTTTATCTCTAACATATATAACATGTATAAATTTATATAAATATAAATATCAATTATTAACCTAGATTTTTTATCTAATAAAATATAGTACATAMAATTTATCGTTAAKATTGATTACTGRAAAAAATGATACATATTAGTRTTTAGATTATTTTTATTTTTATTTGTTTGTCGACYTAATAATATTGTACCAACAATAATTCATGTTGTCGTGTACTTATAAATATTTAATTTTTCAATTATAAACAGGATTTCTCATTTTTTTGTCAGTTTTCAATTTATATGCTACAAAATAATGAATATGATATAAGCAAAAACTAATTGTGACTAATGGTCTTTGCTGCTGATGTCAAATATGATCAATAAAAAAAAAAAAATAATAAGCAAAAGAAAAAACGTTTCCATCTTCAGAGTTATCTTTTTCGTAAAATTAAAATGTAAGTATAGGTTAGTAGAGTAACAATATTAAAATATAATCAATTCGATTAATTATAAAAATTAGATACTAAATGTATTACCTATACAATAGTTATTTTAAGTCATCTTATTATAATATATGAATACATGTTAATTAAAAAAATATGTACTATCCTAATGTATTTAAAATATTTTATATAATGTTTTACGGAATGTATATTAAAAATAATAATGTATTATTAATATTTTGGCAAACTATCTACTTTATTATCTCACATATTTTTTTATTAAATATATTACAATAAAAACATCTTACAGTTTTCGTCTTTTCAAAAATTTAAATAAAAAAATATTTTAGTTTCCACAATTTGTAATTTATAATTTTTTTAGTTACCTCATAGGAGGAAAGTAAAGAGAAATTAATAATTCAGTAGGTTAAAAAAATATAGATTTAAATTTAAATGATTCAAAATTAAACAAAATGCTCATTAAAAYAAATTAGTATTTATAATATTTATTTAGTTAGTTAACGACAAATATCTGTARGAAGTAAATATAGCAATCGCTTTAAAATTATTAAGCTGCAATAATAACTATATATATAATATATATTATTATTATGTGTAAGCATTTAAGAAATTGTTTTGAAATTTAAATAGGTATAAAACATTTAATATTTCTATTATTTATTAGGTATAACCGTATAATATTATAATTTATTATGTTTGTTACCAATATATACCACATTGGTGAGTTTGGTCTTATAATCTTATTAAGAACAAATATCATATTTAAATTGTTTGCAACAAAATACAATTTTAATTATACATTTATAAAGGTAAAAATTTGTCTTATCTTGAGCGAAAGATTTAAACTAATTAAAACACTTGTGGAAAAATAAAAATTATTTTAAAAACCTGATACTAAGCCAATAATATTGTTGTAAATATTTATTTATATGTAACTATATAAGATATCAATATCTAAGGTTATAACAAACAACAATAAGTCATTAACTTATATAGGTAGTGTAGGTACTTATATGATAGAATATAGATAGAATATTTAATATTAGAACATTGGTATCTGGTACAGGCAAATACTTTTTTTTTTTAACTTTTATTGAAACATATTTTGTTTGAAAAGTGTTTTCATACAATAAATGCAAACAAATAGATACCAGAATTATAGTTAGGTAAAAGTAAAATGTAGGTAAATAATAATTCAGTAACTATAAAACGATTAGGTAATATTTAAAATTTCTATTAATTCAAATATTCAATTTTGTATACAAAATACAATAAAGTTATAGTTAAAATAATTTTTATAAAATACCAATTTTAAGATTTAAATATATATACCAATACTTACATTATGTAAATACTTCTTAATTACAGGTATATGGTACATGGTTTTTATTCAAATATAATCAAGCTTTGTGGGTYTATAGCCATTGATTTTGTCCATGTCTAATATTCAATTATATTTTTTACCAAAATGCAATATTACAATATGCACTTCTTACTCGATATAGGTCAATATTCTATACTAGAGATCCAACCTTGTTGATGTCAATGGTAAATTAATAACAAATTTTAATAATAACATTTTTCATGGACCACAATTTGAAATTTGAATGTACTTTATTTTATTTAAAACAAAAATGTATACATAGTATCATATTATATGTATAGTTTATCAATTAACTAAAGGTAATAGGTATCTCCAATGGCTACAAACAATCAACGTTTTAATCCGCAGTTTCCTGTCCATACTATTTTAGTCCGTAATTTATATCAAAATTATAAATTTTACTCACAGGTCACATACATTGCAATGAAGGCCGTGGGTTGTCGACCCATGCTTTATTCTGTTATAATTAAAAAATAATTATTTTGTGAATATTACATATTTATCGTATATTTATACCTACGTATCATTACATAATTGCAATGTATTGTTCACATTATGAGTACATTAAGAATGTTTTAAAATTTCTAAGTATTTTAAACTTATAGTATTAGGTAGGTAGACTATTCGAATATTTAATTAACGAAAATAAATTACTTTCAAAAATTGTAATTGCCCGCAGTTGTTACAACACGTTACATCTAGAATTAGAGTATCATCCTACATTCTTACTAACAAGTAACAACCAACAACCATTGTACTATTGACAATATTGTAGTAGTAATGTATCCCTACTATTGGCATTTTTTAAACARATTTTATGTTATTTAGAAACTAATTAATCACCCATAGGCCATAGGTATAAATAGTATAATGAATATTTATAATTCGGAAATTCCGATTACTCAACTTGTTTTTAACCATAATAATAATCACTTTATTGTATAAAAAAGTTTCGCAATTCAAATTCATAATGTTATAATATATAGAATAAGATATTATAAGGTATAAATATATTGATTTACATCATAGGTGTTAAAATTTAAATATATAACCATTTTGATCAACCCTTTACGAAACCCAAGTTTATTTCTAATCACCAGGTTGGTGCTCGTAGAAAATAATTTAATTRCTATTTAAAAAATTAACAATAGTCATTATCACACATAAAATATACAATCATGTATTTTTGAAATTTGATCAAAGATGTAAAATAATTATAGTTTCCCTAATAAAAATAAATAATTTATGTYGTTAATGATCGRTACATGAGGTTTTATTTTGCATGATTGCCTTCTAATTCTGTTGTGATTCAGAATATTCCATTGTTCTTAATATTTTAAATGTTCATCAACCGTGCAGTGTAAATAGAGTTTTGGTATTTTTTTTATTGTATAAATAAAATTGCTAATAGACATTTTAAAATTTGTTTTTTAAACATGATTCTTTCAGACAAGCACAGCGCGATAACCATGGCAACTATATTACGGGTATATGTATTCTGCAAACGTTTATTTAACTTGGTGCGTTCAGCCAAAAGGAAACAAATCCGTTTGTAAATTATCGCAATATGTCGCCGAATGTCTCATAGAACACACCATAATTTATCGATGCGTCCTTATGTAGTATTTAGCTCTTTAATTTTACCGTTYGCACGTATCTATATACGCTTTGCTTCATCTGTCGCGTGCATCATCTCGCAATTTCATAACGATTCTCATTCATATCATACACACTATTCATACTAAAGAATATATTATAATATGCACTTATATATCCCTGGTGGTGTTGTATATATATATAATATTTGTGTGGCTGCATCTATTTGTAATAATTACAAGGATACGTTACGGCGTGACTATAATATGGTTGTTTGCCGGTGGCGAAACGTTTACTTTTTAAATTGATTCGAACCGTCCCGTTTCGTTCGGACGCGCTTTGAATAAAAAAAATATAAATAAACCGTACAACGCCAATATTAACTGCATATAATTACACAATAATATTAATAATAAAATATGTTGTACAGGCACCTATATTATMCGTACTGCATAGGTAGGTACGTACGCGTTATGATAATATCGTTTTACGTCAGCGSATTTCTATTGACAGAGAGGCGGCGGTAAAAACACACCCAATTACGGGGCCCGGTCCAATCCTTTCGTACGGACGGGTAAAAGTAAAAAAAGAAAAAGTGGTAGAGGAGAAAAAAAAAACCGACACGCACTCGCGAGCGCGTTTCGGTGGGCGTGTATCGAGTCGCCAGGCGTCGTGTACCGTCGTGCGCCGTCGGCGACCCTAGAACGCCGCGGAGGGGGTCGACGTCGTCCATCCGTTGGGGTAGGTTAACCGAGCCCGCGGCGGCAGATGAACCTGCAATAATCGCCGCCACCGACGCGACGTCCAGACCGGTCCGTGCTGTGACTCTCAGTTGTACTTGTGCGCTTTTTGAGTGTCGGTCACGTGCGGGATTTCGCTTAAACGTTTGATTTTTATTTGATTTCACTTCGTATTTTTCTGTTATTGTTTGTACGAAACATTAGAAACAAAACATTGGCACCTATTCTGTAGAGGCTCGTCGTTCGTATTTATAATATTAAAATAAATTATAAATATTTAGTGCTCGAGATACTTTGCGGTCTTCGCGACTTAGACTTAGGTGGATTTAATACCACTTGAATATTATTTATTTTTTGTCGTCGTCAAAATGTTGTTAATTTTGAATTGCGCTCCGATGTCGTATCAATCACCGACCACGGTATCAACGATTTAAAAAACTAGAGGAAAATCGTCCATCGCAGTGCTCAAGACGTCACACTCGCCTCACTACCACTTACCAACCGGCTCGACCGACAAATGAATTATTGTTGATCGATCGTCATAGAAAACACACACTTAAACGGTAAGTTAACATTTATGATTTGTATTGTAATAATTATTATTGGAATCGTAATTTTGTTTGTTTTTTTGTGCGGGTGATCTCTGCCATGTCTAAGTTACGTCAAGTATTGATATAAATTAATTCCTATATATGAGACTTCAATTGTACTTTAGTGATAGACACCCTTTTGATCAAACAATTTCAATTAATCTCTAAATTAATGGTTTTATATAGAGGGAGTTGATTAAACAGAAGGGGTTTACCAATCACAATTAACCCTTTATAAGTGTGCGCACGGCGCACACTCAATTTTCTATAGGATTTTTTGACGGACTTACAAAATACATTATTTGTTCGATTGAAAATATTGTCGGTTCCTTTTTGAATAAATATCATGTTTATGTTCACTTCAAATAATTTAAAAAAAAATATATTTTTTCTCTATTAGGTAGGTACAATGATTTAATTGAAAATGTGTACGTTATCTTGTTTTTGCAATGTATACCTATTTCAATCTATGTCAATTTAAAATCTACAGATCAACTCGTACAATTTATTTTTAATAATTACGAAATTCCCTGTGGATAAAGAATAACCGATTTAATTTAAAAGCTCTCATGCAGTGGTTACGTATTATATATAGATAAAAAAAGCCAACCAAACACCGGTTCGGCTTGTTTTTTTCAAACGGCATTACTGATAAGTTAGAACGGTGTTTATTTCAGGCAGGCAACTCATTAACGACTTAATGTGTTTCATTTCCAACGGGAATAGTTGTTTAAAAAAAAAAAAACCACAATATATAGGTATATTTTCAACGAAACGTAAGTTCTTATCGTCGTTTACATTTTTAGCCAATATTATATGGACCTGTATTATAACAATGAATAAAAGTATACATGTATTTTAAAATGTACCATGTTTTTAAATTGTTATGAAATCTGACTAATCCTCAATTATTGCGGATTACAATATCTACTCCCYATTTTGTTTTTGAGGGTGAGGAAGAAAGAAATGAAATATTTTGACACAAATTAATATATTATGGTTTTTATTTAAGTGTAAGTAAGCAATATTGTAATGTTGTAATTGTTGAACAATCATCAAGATACTCATCCGTTTAGTATTAATTGTCGTTTTTAATATAAAAATGTATTAAAAATGGATCTAATAATTTAAGTGTTGTTTGAACATTACCTAACTACTACCCAATTTTTTTCAAACAGATGGTTAATTGAAACTGTTGATAATTTAACCAATGAATTATAATTGCTGACTAATGCTAAATACTGTACGTCTATATACCGTTGTCTTTTTGTTATATACAATTGATACCTAATATTAATAAATAAATTAAATATACTTACCAACCTAATAAATTTAATTCAACAGAMATTAAATAATTAAATAAAACTATCTTAAATTATATCGTTACCAATTTTTATTATAGAAGTCTTAGATTAAAAAGGTTCAAAAATATAATAGGCAGGTATGATCAATTATTTTATAATTATACATTTTCAAATCTAAAAACAAAAATTATGAATTTAGTAGTTATTATTAACTATTGGAAAACTAAAACTGATCTCATTGAAATATTGTTGATGTAACAATGGTTACAATTTTAAAATAAAGTACCTACCTAAAAATAATTGAATAGTTGAAACGAATACAAGTATACATTAGCTATATTTATTTATTAAATTAATTTTATATATTTACGTATATTGAATATGCATTTAACGACAATAAAAKTAAATGTGGTGACATTTGTAACACATAAGGTTCATAAACAACTTATTTACGATTTCGTAAGTTTTTATTTAAGATATGAATACATAGCTACAGTTTGTCGAGATTCCAATTTCCAGCCGAAAAATATAAATCGTAAAAATAATGTTCAATTTTCAGCGAGAAAGCTCTCACTTTTCCTTACTTATTTTTTTCCCCCTCGCGTGCGTATTTATTCTGTGCTCTTCTTACATACTCGTCCATCTCATTCTCTCGCCTCAAATGAAAACCATTTTCTTCGAACCTCACACACATACACACACACACAGACGGAGACGATTCCGAGAAAGAAAAAGGAGTAGGACACTCGGAGTACGACGTACTGGGTGATGAAATGTGGGGGTGGTGGCGGTAACAGGAAAAAAAGAAGGAAAAAAGTATGCACGGCGGTGGTGGTTTCTATCCCGATCATCCCCCCCTTCCCTTATTCATTAGAAAGAGGGGCCCCRTGCTTGAAGAGGCATTTATTTTATGGCTTTTTGTTTTGTCCAGGGAACAGTCGGCCATTTTTCCGCCCCGCGCGCACCGCCGTCGCGCACACCGCGGCGGTGAAAACAAAAATGAAAAACTCGACCCTTGCGGCGAAAACGATTTTTTACCCGCTCGCTTGGCCTTCTTTCACACTGCGCCCCTCGGTTCAATCAATACCGGCAATCATCGCTTCTCTTTCCTCGATGGTCATATATATATATATGTACGCGATGACGACGTCATGCGCCCTAAAACTCGCCGGGGCTTTTTTTCTTTCTTCTTACTTATATTTTATTCGATTTTTTTCCGATTTTTTCCCCTTCGCGTCCCTTAAAAATCAATTCGAACAAGTATTTCGCCTGCCGTGCGTTATAATATATACGCTTATTAAATCTATTAAAAACGTTTTGTTTCTTTGTCGTTTTGCAGAAGAACAATGTTTTTGGAAAACGAACACCAGCCAATTATTAGCCATTCATCGTACGATCTCGCACGTCCGCTTGAACACCATCACCATCATCACCTCAACCATCACGCTGCGTCCAATCACCTCCAGTCAGGCACTGATCACTTRCAAGAAGATTCAGAAGGCCGGAGTACGGCCAGCTCGCCGACGTCCAGTTACCGCGACTTGTCCGGGTGCGAAGACTTTGACCTGAAAATCCCTAAACCGTCTGGTCCGGGGTCCGGTACTGGTGGGCACAACAATAACAACAACCACAATAACAACAACAAGGAACAAAAACCGAAAAAGCACAAGTGCAAACACTGTGGGCTGGAGTGCACGGAAAAGGTGCAGTACTGGAAGCACATTCGCACTCACATCAAACCTGAACAGTTGCTGGAGTGCCCGAACTGCGAGTTCGCCACCGACCTAAAACACCACTACGAATACCACCTGCTAAACCACACGGGCGCCAAGCCGTTCACGTGCCCGGACTGCGACTACAAGTGCGTGAGCAAGTCGATGCTTCAATCGCATCTCAAGTCGCATTCGAACGTGTTCCAGTTTCAGTGTTACGACTGTGGGTACGCATCCAAGTACATGCACAGTCTCAAGCAGCACCTGAAGAAGCGCGACCACCGGCCGGCCACGCCGCTCAACCCAGACGGCACACCGAACCCGGACATCGTCATCGACGTGGTGGGCAACCGGCGGGGGCCGCGGCAGAACAAGAAACAAAACCGGCACAACCCGTACCAGCAACAGCACCAGCAGCAACAACCCAAGCAGTCTATGACCGTGTGTTCGTCGCAGGACGACGGCGGCAGCAGCAGCGGTGGACACCCGTCACCTTACTCGATGCAACAGCTGTTGCAGATGCCCTCGTCCGGATGCGCCCAAGTCACTTACCCGACATCGGCCGAGTCGTTCATGTATTCAATGATCACCAAGCGCTCCATGGAGATGGTTGACTACCAGGCCGCCGAATACCTGGCCATCAAGAACAACAACAACAATAATAACAACTCCTCGTCGGTCGACGATAAGATGGACGTGCAACAGTACCACAACCAACAACAACACAACAATCATTACCATAAACGCGGGCATCAATACCACTCTGATGACGTGCTCAAAGTGGAATTGGCTGGACGCAGTGGTAGCGGCGGTGACCGGACGCCCGAACCACAGGTACCGGTATTGGCAGTCGCAGATCCTTCACCCCCGCCCGTCGTCTTGGCCATCGAGTCGGGGCCGTTGAACTTGAGCAGAGACTCTGTGGCTCCACGCGCCGCGGGCAGCAGCCGGCGCAAGGGGATCGCGTGCAAACTAGAGCGTCCGGCCACCGAACCGCAGTCCAAGTCGGTGCCGGTGGTGGTTGTTCCGGATTCACCTGCGGTACCTATGGACTGTAGCAGTGAGTCAAGAGGAGGAACGGCGGAGGACACATCGATTCCGGTTAAGGTTGAATTTCAACCGTATCATCACCACCACTACCATCAGCAGCAGACGTCGTCGTCGTCTTCGACGCCCGAAAAAGAAGACAAGGAAGACGAGACGCACGTGTGCCACCATTGCGAYATAATATTCAAGGAGAACATCATGTACTCGATGCACATGGGTTTCCAYAGTTTCAGGGACCCCTTCGCGTGCAACCTATGCGGCGAGATAACGGCAGATAAGTTTTCATTTTTCGCTCACATAGCGCGCGTTCCGCACAGTTAAGCTGCAATGAGGAGTTGCATCGCCGCTGCAGTTAAGATACGAAATAATAGAGTACAAATTTTAAAACAATAATTGACCCTTAAGGTATGTAATATAGGATTTATCGTAAGAAAAAAAGAAAACAGATTAAGAATATAAAGTAATGGTTACATAGGTACTATATTATTATACACCTCCTTCTTATTAATAACTATAATTTCCCCTCCCCTAATTGTGCAGTCGCGCCAGACACACACGTACAAATCAAAATGGTTTTTGGCTCCTCAGAACTAAAAACAATTTTGATTTGTATACGTGACCGGTGTTTTCGATCGGTTCCGGTTCTTAAACGTTGACTTTTTAACTCGTCAACGTTTAAGAGTCTGTTACCGATTTTTCATATCGTG